TGCCTTTCGCCACTGGGTGCCAAACTGGCACAGATCTGTGTGCACCAGTTGCACCCGCGGGTCCTGAAGCAATCTGCGCATTTGAGGTGTCAGCCATAAACGTGAGGCACGAGGATTTTCTAAGTAGCCAGGAATACCCAACCGCAAACATCGTCTGATCACACGCGCAGCTCCGAAACACATGTTGTTGGCACCCTGCACTTTCTGGAAGTCTTTGAGGCCAAGGTGAGGCTTGCCGAAAAGTTCCGCATCACTGTTTCCTCGCAGTGCTTTTGGCATCGAGGACCACCACGGAGCCCGCCTCGCTCGGCTCCAGGTGTTACACGGAAGATCAATGCCGACCAGAGCGAAATGGTGCAAACTTCTCAGAACGGAGTTCCAGGCTGAAGGTTTTGACAAATCATTACTCGCAGAATGACGGATGTCAATCACAGTAGCTATTCCCCCTGCATCTGAGAAAAATTTTGCTGCCTCTGCAACGCCTCCGAAGAGGCTCAGGAACGCTTTTCCTGCGAAGCCTTCTCCCATGACCGTCTCAGCTCTACAGGCAGAGGGCAGGTACCAGTGTGGAAGTAGCGGGGAAAGTGCTCTCTCACATTCTCCCCGAAGATTTCCCACTTGGAACTGAAGCGGTTGATGATCTGCTGAAGCCGCCCCGGCTTGTCGTAGATGCGGGCACTCGCATCTACCGCCCACCTGCCTCGTCTCTGTATGGCCTGCACTGACCGGAGCTTCAGCAAGTGGTCCCTGGAGGCGCCTCCGTGCCGATTCTGGTAGGGGCTCGTCGCAACTTCTTCGATCCCCAGCGACTTCACGCAGCGCCTCCAGATCCTCAGGTACTCTGCCGCCGTGAAAGGCCACAGGTTCGCAGCTTCGTCCTTTTTGAGCCGTGCATCTGCATGCAGTCCCAAAATCTTGCTTAGCCACGGAACACGGGTGTCGTCGAGGATGAGCGTCTCGTCGTACACACCTGCTTTGGTGCCCACGCCCCTCTCCATGGGCGCCACGACCAAAACCGCGTAG